AAGGAGTAGGGTGCCAGCCTCATATGCTGGAGGTGGTGAGTTCAAACCCAGCCTTGGCCAAAAACTGCAAAAACAAAACAAACAAAAAAATATTTTAAATATTGACTTCTCAATTCATAGAGAGGATACCTGGGAAGGGTGAGGTCTAGGATAACAGGTTTTCTCAAGGAGACTACACGAATACACCTGCCACGGTCCTCTCCATGGTAGAGGAATTTGTAAACTTAACTTCCTGGAACTTGGAAATTTCCACTTCTGTGAAATCCTATAGTTGTGTGGGGGCTGGAATAGCCCTGCTTGATTCAAACTGGCCAATGAGAAAGGTACCTGTGGGTTGGAACTTTTTTGACTGGAGATAAAAAGGGAGAGACCAAGTCAGGTGGGGAGTGAGGCCATTTGGAATTATTCTGCCGAAGCTCCCAGCCAGTGAATAAAGCCCTTCCTCTTATAAACATGGTGTTTGGGTGCTCTTTCTCTCCGTTGGGCCTCCTTTTCCTGCAATAATAGGATCATAGAACATGATCTATATTAAGTAGTTTGCTGAAAGCTGTTGAGACCTGCTTTATAGTTCATGATCAGTTTTTGTAAATGTTCCCAGGTGTTTGCAAAGATGTTTATTCTGACAATAAAATGGAGTATTCTATATATGTCCATTAAAGCCAGACTGTTAAATGTTTGGTTCATATTTACTTTTCTTTTTAATTTGATAATTACTAGTGAAGTATATTAAAAATTCTCATTGTGCTTGTGGACCTATTACTTTCCTCTTGAAATTCTGCAACTTGCATTTAGTTTTAGACTGTTACCACATGCCAACAAGTTCAGAACAATTTTACCTTCTTGGGTTTAACAAAATTTATCATTTATTTAACTTATTTATCCCTAAAGCTTTTTGCATTAAATCTTGTCTGATATTAATATTTTGAGCCTTCCTAACTCTATTTTTCCTCTTTACTGTTTCTCTATCTTGTTTACTTTCAACAACTTTGCCTTTGTTTTTTTAGGGGTATGTCTTATAAGTGATACACAGCTGGATTTAGTTTTTACCCAATGAGAGTACCCTTGGCCAGACAAATTCAATCCTTTATTTAATCATTTGTTGTTCTTACTGAGATACACAGATTTTTACTATTTTGTGCTTCCTATTATTTCTGGTTTTGCTTTATTTTTCCCCCTTTTCTGCTTTGTATTTGGATTGTGAATTTTCTTTATTCTTCTTTCTTCTAATGAGAACATACTATGTGTCTCTTTACTAGTCCATTACATTTACCCTGACATTTAATGTGAACTGTTCGTTATCAATATCTTTACCCTTCTTGTCCAATGTAGGCATCCCAAACACCTTTCATTCTTTCACTGTCATATTTTTTAAGTTATTGTCCACTATTAAATTTCCTTTTTTATACATCCAAAATAAGTAATTATTATTGTTATTTTATAGTCAATAGTTGTTTATCAATTTTGTTAGGCTAAACTATTTTTTCTTACATTTCAGATCTTTTGAATTCAAATCCCTTTAAAAGACCTTCTAGTTATGCGCTCATTCATTTTGTGTGAAAATATTCTCATTTTGCCCTCATTGAAGTTCTACAAAATTCTAAGTTGATAGTTATTTTCTCTTTGCACTTTGAAGTTACTAGTCCATTGTCTCCAGGCTTCGTTGTTACTATTGAGAAATCTGTTGTTGTTATTTAAATTGTCATTTCACTGAAGAAAGGGAAGGTGTCTTTTGTAAGGGCTTTTCAAGATTGCTACTTTCTTCTATAATTTTAGTTTTATATTTTTTATTTATACTGAATGCAATTCATTATAGTTCCCAAATCTAAGGATGGCAGCTATTATTTCTTTGAACATTTTCCATCCCTAATCTTTTCAGCACTTCTGAAAATCCAATTAGATGGCATTTCAGACCTTTGCCTCATAGGCTCCACTTCTTTTTGTTTTTCTTTTGTATTTTCCATCTACATGACTTTTTTGACCAGCATGTGGAGTCATTTATTTAGAACTTTCAGTTCATGAATTCTTTATTAAGATGTGTTTAATTTGCTTTTTAAAAATTTTTATGTATACATGTGATTATTAGGTTTCCACTTTTTGCCTTCACAGAATTAAAAAGGCTTAAATTTTAACAATAACAATGTTAAAGATAAGGACTAGAAACAAAAACCTCCTAAAGAATGAAGATAAATATGTTCAGACAAGAAATTAGACGATTGCTGCAACGAAGTATTAAGCAATAATACTAATAGTAATGCAAAGAAAGTAACATTCACATTGTCAAATAAGAGTATGTCTATTATAGAATGCTTTGACTCTGAGGTTCAGTATGGAGTCAGGAGTTCAGGATGTTTAATTTGCTCTTTAACTTACCATTAAGTTTTGATTTCAGTAATTAAAGTTTTTATTTCCCAAAGTTGTGGTTCTTTATAGAAATCAATTTGGTGTGTTTTAATACTTTTTTGTTTCCTTTCTCATGTTTTTGGCTCATTTTTTAAAATATCAATAAATATTTTAACCATATTTTAAAAGATTTGTATTTAAATTTAAGATTTAATTTAAATTATTCTTTCTGTGCACGCTTTCCCTACTGGCTGGTATTCACGATATCTTGTTTCTGTGTATATTTGTAGTTAGTTTCTGCATTCTGAATTGTTAGAAGAGGCCTTATCTTTGGGAGCTCTGAGTAGTCTTTATATTTTGATATGTTTTCCTCTAGAAAGCATGTGTTTGCTTCTTTCTAGCAATCTGGATGCAATTAAATCAATGGACCTCTGGAAAAAATAAGACAGTATTATACAACTAGTCATTTCAGTTGAGGAAAGAAATCAAACTTCTGCAGTAGTTATGGGGGGGGATGTAAGCTTGATTAAAATTTCCATTTGCCATTTTGATTTTAGAGAAAATGTGAAGACTTCAAGTAGAACAGGTATATTTCATAAATTCCAAGAAACAGAGTTTTCCAGATTTAAAGATTTCCAAAATCAGGATGTATGTTACGATCAATAGTTACAATCATAATCAGCAGTGCTTTTTCTCTTTTTAGCTGTACACAAAATGTTCTATAATTTATGATGTTTTATGTTAGAATCTAGTCTAAAATCCTAATCTAGGTAATAATGTACTACTAACCATTAGCCATTAATGGTTACTAACTACTAACCATTAAAATATTAATCTGAAGCAATGGCTATGTATGCATAATGCAACTTTCAAGTGGATGTATTCCACTGTAACAACAGTAATAGCAATGTATATATTTCTTACTTATGACTAGGCACTGTTTTAGGAGTTTTACTTAATTATCTTATTTCTTACAAATTCTCTTTTTAGGTAGGTTACTGATGATTAGGATCCCTGGTGAGGACACTGAAACACAGAGAAGTGACCTGGCCAACATCTTACATACAGAAGATTAATGTTTCTCTTAGAATCAAAATTTTACCTGCCACTGAGCAAATAAGTGAAATTGTAGATTAAGTAGTTTAGGAAAACATACTACTGATTTTTAATATTTTCTAAAATTTAATTAAACATTAATAATTTTAAAGATTTATTTATTTAATTATATAATTAACATTAATATTTAATATTATTTTAATATTTAATATTCTGCCAAAAAACTGAGATCTATTTGGATAGCAAATAGACATAATGTTTTCCTAATTAAGGCCCCATAGTAGGTAGAATAATGATGCCCCCAAATATGTTCATTTCCTAATCCTTGGAACCTGTGAATACGCTACCTTACATGGCAAAAGGACTTTGCTGATGTGTTTAAGACTGTGGACCTAGAAACGAGATATACTGGATTATTCAAGCAAGCCCTTAAAATGAAAGAATTTTTCTCAGCTGCAATAGAGACACTTGACTACGGCAAAGTTAGCCAGATGCAACTTCACTGGCTTTGAAGATGAAGGAAAACCACCAAGCTGCAGAATGGAGACAGAATCTGGAAAAGGCAAGGAAATTATTCTCCACTAAGCTGCGGAATGGACATAGAAGCTGGAAAAGGCGAGGAAATTATTCTCTGGTGGCTGTTTTCAGAAATAAATGCAGCCCTGCTAAAACCTTGATTTTAGCCCGAGACTTGTGTAAGACTTCTGACGTACAGAACTGTAAGATAAATTAACGTTACCTGTAAGATACATGTGTTCTGTCTTAAGCCACTGAGTTTGTGGTAATCGGTAATAGCAGCAATAGGAAGTGGATGCAAGCCAATTCAGGCTAACCTAAATCAATTTAATGTTGATTTCATTTTAACAAAAACGTTTTAAACATGTGTAGGTATCATTTTTGGATTAATTTCTAATGTCCGGAAAAGGACTAGATAGGCAGCATCCATTTTTTAGACTCGGGAGCGCTATGCTGCCCTGAAGATGCTTACAGTTACCGTCTAGATGGCTTGCTTAGTTTCTCCATAATGCATCATATAAAAACCACTGGTAACTTCAGATGGTACAGAGAAAAATGCTTTGTTAACAGCATTTTTACGTTTACCTTCTACATATGCTTAATTTTGCTGGTTTTGCAGTTAAAGAAGATATTTATGATTTACTATACGGTGTATGACCCAAGAAAATGTACAAATTTCACTCGGCTTCCCGTGGGTGTCCTGAGGCTGCACTCCAGGAGGGCGGGCTGCAACTTGACAAAAGCAGCAAGCACTACATTTAAGTCAGAAGGCCAAAGACCGGGGAACGATGATATTCGCAAGGCCGCCACTCTCCTCACCAGCAGTGGAAACATCGACCACGTACAAACCTATCAAGCCCTCTCAGCCTCTCTCTGCAGCTAGAGGCGCGCCAGCCCCGCCAGCGACGTCAAACCTCGCGACACTTGCAACTATCGCGGACCTTTCTTTGCTCCGACCTCCCCGGCAGGAAGATTGCTCCGCCTACGTTAAAAAAAAAAAAAAAAAGTTTTGTTCTCGTGAGATTCTGGTGACAGTTCGGAAGCCTGTTCTCGCGGGATTTTCCATGTTATGGTTGGAAGTTGCGGTGGGCAGAAGCGGGAGGCCAGACACGAGAGGGAGATTTAGGGTTCGTGGTGCCCGCCTCCGGTCTTCTCCGGGCTGCGAAGCTCGGGACGCGTAGGTGAACCCCGCCTTGTCGGCCTCACACAGAGCCCCCCGGCTCTGCTGCTGCTTCGGCATCACCTGCCCTTCCATCCTCAGTTTCTCCTGGGGTCCCCTCAGACGCCACCTTTGCTACCTTCTGCCCCGTCCCGTGGCCTCCGGCTCCGAGGGAGCAATGAACGGAGGACGGCGGCAGGGAGTGGTGTTGGCCGCGACTGGCCCGCTTGCCAGCCTCCTAGCTGTCCTTCGCTGCCTTCCGGGTGTTAAAAGCAGCCGGGCTGCCAGGCCCCTCCCCCTGGCCAGATGGATCCCTCCTCCGCCCAGAAGTCCCGTGCGGAAATCTCCAGCAAAGGTATAAGCTCCCAGTTCGCCTCTCTGCCCAGACGCCTTCTTGACTGCGTAGCGCTGGACCGACCTTCGGTTTGGGGTTTTACCCTGTAGCTCCTCTGAATGACAGCTGCAGATTGTGAACCTCTCCCGGGCTGGGACCAATTCTTTGCCATTCAATGTTGAGAACCGTTATTGTGGAGTCAGCCCTTGGATCTAGTGTTGGCTCGGACAGTTACTTTGGGAGCAATTTTGGGCAGTTTCTTCATATGTAAAACTGGGTTAATTAATGCTGATTCTTGTGATTAAATGAGATGGGATGTGCAGAGCATTTATGTGACCCCGCGTCTAGCCCATAGTAAGCACTCAGTAAATTTAGATATTTTAATTCTTTAACCCTTATATGCTATAGTTGTTAGTGAGTGGTACAAGTTTGTTGTTAAGTAGATGAATGAGATATTTAGTTGTTTACTTTTATTGAACTATATGATGTATTGAGTTCTGGCCTTATAGCCCACTCTTAATGGGTAACCAAGAGAGGATTTAAAGAAAGAGTGGTTATCTGCCCCAAGTCATCTGTGATGTATTATGGCCTCCAAATCTATGGCTTCCGTTAATGATAGTTAAATAACAAAAGTGATTGTTCAGTGCCCAGCAATATGCTGATGATTTATCTGTTTGCTGTACTTTGAGGAATATATCCATCTCATTAAATAGATGAGGAATTGAAGGCTAAAGCTCAGAGAGGGTAAGTAACAAGCCTGAACCCTGAGCACTAGAAATTGATGATGCTGTAATTCATGGACCACACATTTAAATCCCTATAGTAGCCTAGCAGGTAAAAATAAATGCTGAGTGGTCATTATGGTGACTGGGATGCTCATTCTTAAGTTAAATTTATGAAGGAATCAGTCACTTTGGTATTTAAGGAAAGAATACTGATGGAAAGAACAGAAAGCTGAGGGCCCTGAAGTGAGACTGTGCTTTCCATAGTTGAGCAATAGCAAGGAGGACAGTTTGGAAGGGAAGAGGGACCAGATCATGAGGAGCCTTACCTCCATTGTCCTGTGAAATCCAGCAGGAAATCCTCCCAATTTAAACAATTCGTTCTCGAGTTTGGTGGCTGAGAGATTTCATTCTTAGCCCAAACTTAACTGAATCCATTTAGTTCTAGAAATTATCCAAACTTGGGAACCAAAAAGGTTCCCGTGAATTGTGTAATTCCCTTAAGGCTTTTTGCACATGTTGTACCACCTGAAATACTCTTCTTAGTCTTTTTAGATTATGTTTCCTAAAGTTCCTTCTCATAGCGTTCTGTTCTCTTTTTCCAACATACTAATTATAATTACATGTTTGTGTAATTTTTAGTTTCTGTCTCTCTCACTACATACCAAGGATCTATGAAATTAAGAATCTGTTTTCATTAATAAATTCAGAACATGTTTATTGATTGTCTGCTGTGTGTTGGGCCTGGGGATCAAATTCTGAACAACACAAGACTTTTTCTTAAAGGAAATTACTCTGTTAGTATAAGAGAAAGACAAAAACAAATCAACATGATAATTAAATATTGTAAGTGATATAGAGGTAAGAAGATGCTGAGATAGATAATAATAGGGCATCTTAATTAAAGTAAGGTGAACTGGGAGCAGAGAGACTGGGTAGGAATACTTTAGGAAAAAGCTGATAGTGGCGTGCTTTAGGGCAGATGTCAAGAAACTATTGCTTGTGGGCCAAATTTAGTCTGACACTTCTTTTTGTAAATAAAGTTTTATTAGAATACATCCATGCACATTTGTTTATGTATTGTCCGTGTTTTCTTATACTTTACAAGGACAAGAGAATGTATGGTCTGCAAAATCTAAAATAACAAATAGCTAATATCTGAGTCTTTACAGAAGAAGTTTGTCAACTTATAATTCAGAGAGATGATGGCATGGGTGAAAGATATGGATTTTTGAAGTAGAACCGGGACATTCTGATATGAAAGAAATAATATAAAAAGAGGATTAGGGTTTGATGAAAAGTTGGAGATGAGGACGCCAGTTAATGAGTTGCAGGAAGACAAGTCACCATCATTTTTGACATTGGCTTTCTTCATTTTATATCCATCACGTGGTATCATACCTGCTGAATAATTTGTGCTTAAACCATACATATTGAATAATAAATAAGTAATAAAAAATGGGAAGACAGTTGTGTGGGAGGGGAAAAAATGATGTGAAACAGAGTGTTTTAAGAATTGCTGTGTAGTTTTAAGGTCAAATAGTACCATTCTGAAAATAGGGCCCATTGAAGCTATATGTTATTTTACTTGCATAGTGGATTGAAGTATTAGTTTCACATTAAAATACTACTGTCTTTTAGAACAGTATAACAGTTCTCAGTTTATATCCAAAGATTAGAATGGGAGAACAAATTTTTCCCTATGTACGCATGATTGTTATGGTAAACAACCTCACCAAGGTTAATGGGAATAATGGCTTTACTTTTGAGGAACAACTGATCAGAAATATAATGAGCTTAAGGCAATATAAACATGTCATATTGTAATCATGAATGTTGTAAAAAAATCTTATCTTGAGTTCATCAAGAAAAACTATTAATAATCATCTTATTTTTGTGGGAAATGTGTAAGAAAAATAATTCCTAGTATTCTTAATAGTTATAGCCATTTAGTTGCTCTTGGATTCTTGCCATACATTTGGAAAATTATTTTTGCTTAGTTTTCTCTATTTGATACCTTTAAATTATGTCAATAGTATACTCTTTGGAGACCCCCTTCTTCATCATAGTGCTGTATTTTCTGAATAGACAATAAAATAGCTGTACTGTTAAGTACAGAGTAAGTTTGTATAGATCAGACTCTTCAAAGAATAACAGAATTTTAGCAGATACAAATCTTAGAATTTATCTTTTAAAAACTCAAGTGTTGAAAACCTAGAAGAGAAAAAGCTGTGATAAAGCTGTGATATCACTCTGTAGTAGAACTGGACGTTCCCTTGGTTAAAGCAATGGCTAAGTAACAGCAATATTAATAGTGAGAAGAAACAACTGTCTCCAGAGAAAGGAGATGGAATAATTATAAAAAAAACAGATAGATAAACTGTAAAAGCTTTACTGCCCAGAGGATTTTAGCTTCCTTATCAAATCCTATTCACTATTACTCTCCCACATCATAAATTATCTATATCTAAAACATTAGCAAGAATATTTAAATCAGTGGTTCTTAATCCTGGCTATGCATACATTATCTTTTTAATTCCACAATAATAACCAAACAAAATAATAAAACCAGATTCCTATGATCCTTCACCCAATCAGAATGACCAGGGGTGGTGTCCAAGCATTTATATTTTTTAAAACTAGTGGAGATTATGAGACTCCACTAAAGAACCACTGGAAATAAATTATGTTCCCTTTATGCCATTTATTGTAGGAGAACATCTGATAGTATACTTTAGAAAAATGTGTCATAATTTATCTTGTCTCAGCTATTTGGAAAATTGTGTGAAGCACGTTTTTTTTCCTCCTGTTATTGGATAAGGGAGTTAGATTTTGAAACTGTATTTTCTTCTTTATTATTGCAGACAGATGGCATCCAGGAGAAAGATGTCTTGTCCCTTCTACAGATCACGGAAAACTTTGTGAAGCAAGCATAAAATCTATTACAGTGGATGAAAATGGCAAATCATTTGCAATTGTCTTATATTCAGATTTTCAAGAGAGGAAAATACCTCTTACGAGACTTCAAGAAGTAAAGTCTATCAAAGATTGCTCAAGGAATTTTATATTTGATGATGAAGATTTGGAAAAGCCTTATTTCCCAGACCGAAAATTTCCATCATCTGCTGTTGCTTTTAAATTATCTGAAGATGGAGATTCTATTCCTTATACCATTAATAGGTATTTGAGAGACTACCAAAGGGAAGGAGCCCAGTTTCTTTACGGACACTACATCAAAGGAAGAGGTTGCATTCTTGGTGATGACATGGGACTTGGAAAAACAGTACAGGTATTCATTTTAATTACTTTATAGTTAAATTAAGTAAAGTCATTTTATTATATACATGAAGGGATACCATGTACAAAATCTCTATTTGTACTACTGTTAAGATAGCTATTCTGTGTGTGTGCATATGTATTTTTATTTGTCTCACCAACCTGATAGTAGTTTCCTTAAAGTTGAGGACAATGTCTCAGTTATTTTGTCCTCAACACTTACTTTGTACCTATGGTATATTATTCAAAAAAACATTTTAGTATAACTTGGCTTAATTTTGCCTTTTCTAACACTAATAATACTAAGATATCAATATATTTGAAGTAGTTTAATTTTCATAATAATACTTTATGGAAGGAAAGTATTCTAACATTTGGTACACTACATAGTAGAGTTAAATTGATTTCCTGTAAGCCTTTTGTAAATATTGGGGTTTATTATATTAGCAAGTTTCTTAATGTGGAATCCCTGGACCCCTCACTGTTCTATTTGAGGACTTTAAAGAGGTCTTCTAATTCCCTAAAATGTGTACCAGAATTTGTAGATCCATGTTAGTTATCTGTTGCTATATAACTAATTATGCTAAAATGTAGCAGCTTAAAACAATATGTTTATTATCTTATAGTTTCTGTGGGTCAGGAATCCAGGTTACACTTAGCTGGGTCCTCTGCCCCTCACAAGGCTGCAGTCATTTCAGGGTTGGACTGGGGAAGATTCACTTCCTAGCACATGTGGTTGTTGGCATGATTTAGATTCTTAAGGGTTCTTGGACTGAGGCCTCAGTTTCTCTTGAGCTATTTATTGGCTGGAGGCCTCCTTTGCTTCCTTGCCACACAGACCTGTTCATAGAGCATCTCACACATGGTAACTTGCTTCAGCAAGAAGAACAAGTAAGAGGGCAACAGAACAGTACAGAACAGAACAGAAGATGGAAGTCATGATCTTTTGTAAAATACAGAAGAGATAGCCCCTCACCTTGGCCATTTCTGTTCATTAGAAGCAAGTTTCTAGGTCTAGTGAGCAGTCGAAGGGAGGTTAAACAAGGTTGTGAATACCAAGAGGTGGGGATTTTGAGTGGCCCTACCCGTCAGAGGCTGCCTACCACAGGGTCCTTAGATTTTCAAAGTTTTGAGATCCAAAAAGATTTGAATTTTGAATCTAGATTTTGCAGTTTTTTGCTGGGGCCAGGTCCAAACCCGCCACCTCTGGCATATAGGGCCAGTGCCCTACTCCTTTGAGCCACAGGCGCCACCTTGAACCTAGATTTTGTAGTAATTACTTTGGATTTTCAGGAGTGTTTGCCTAATTTGTGATTAAGTCATTCTGCGCTTTCTTCCTTATAATTGAATTGAATTATTCTTCATGTTACCTCATTGTTTAGTGGAACTCAAAAGTAAATGAAAAACTAAGTTTAACATTTAAAAATAGCCAAATAATGCTGCTAATGTGTAAAGGTTTGATGTGAAAAGTTCAGGTAAAATGAAGTTTTTCAATAATAATGTTACCATTGGCTATATATATTTAAGCCTATGCAATGCAGATAGTCTAGGCTTGCATCTTGGAGGTGCTAAATAATTGTTTGTAGAATAAATGAATTTCCTTTCTCAAGAGAATAGCTGGCAAGAATAAAGAAAGGGGCTTTCAGTAAAATTACTGTCTGTGACAAAGGTATACAGTTACAAACCAGAATGGAGAAGGCAGATGTACGAAAAGTGTATTTCCCTCTTTGAGAAATATGGCTTTGAAAGAGAATAAAATTGGCCTAGTTGTAGCTGAAGGGGGATGAGATTTTGAGAGAGTTTCTCTTTTGTTTGTTTCTTCTTGTTTGGGGATAGGAGAGACTTGATTATTTTTTAAGTGAATTAGAAGGTTCTGATTAAAAGGGAACAGTTGAATAGACAAGATACATAAATATATGCATACAATATGTATACTTCATTTATGTATGACTGTAAACACCTAAATATAAATAAGCAAAATATGAAGTCATGTAGTAACTATTATCTTATAAAAGGAATTTCTTTATTTTTGGCATGTTTATTTACTAATTTTTCCCCATCATCTTATGAAATTTTTCAAACCATATAGAAGAATTGAAATAATTATATGCTGAAAACCCATGTACCCACCACCTAGATTTTATTAATAATTTATACATGGTGTTTTCATATCCATTCATCTATCAATCCTTCTTTTGTTGTGTTTTGAAGTAACAGACATTAGTAGATTTTTATTCCCCAAACACTTGAGTATGCATATACATCAGCTAGAGTTCAGTATTTATTTACACTTTTTTAAATTTTTAGGTAAATTTTACATTGAAATGCACAACGCATAAGGGTACCCTTCATTCTATAAGTTTTGATTTGTCTCTGTGTAAGCCAAATAAACACTTTTAAGATACAGTTATCTTCACTCCAGAAAATTTCTTTATATGCCTTTGTAGTTCTGCCAACCCCAAGAGGCAACCTATGTTTTGATTTTTTATATTACAGATTAGTTTTGCTTTTTCGTGTAAATGGAATCATACAGTTGCACACTGGTGTAAATCTTCTTTCACTTAAGATAATATTTTGGGGGTTCATCCATGTTGTTGAGGACAGAAGTATTTTGTTTCTTTTTTTCACTGAGTAGTATTCCATTATTTATAATAGATGCTGTATTTTATCTATCCTGCTCATGAGCTCCTTAGATGTTTGAAGTTTTTAGCTATTATGAATAAAGATATTATAAACTTTCTTGAACCAAACCTCTTTTTATTTATTTATTGTGGGTAATCATTAGGAATAGAATTACAGTACTTCATATTAGGGCTGATGTATGTTTAATTTTGTAAGGAATTGGCAAACCTTTTCCCAAAGTGTTTGTATTATTCTGCATTCCCACCAACAATGTGTAAGTTATAGGTGCTCCATATCCTTGCCAATTTTTTTGTTAGTCTTTTTAATCTTAGCAGTTCTGTTTGTTATGTGTGTATGTTCTTTGTATACTTTATTGAGGTATAATTGACATATAATAAACTGGATAAATTAACATAATAAATTAGCATATCATTTGGTAAGTTTTTACATATATGCACCTTAGACAATATCACCACAATACCACATTTGATAAGTTTATATATATATGTATATATATACATATATACCTAAGAAAAGATCACCATGATACCACAACCAAGATAATTGAACCCCAAATTTTCTTATGTCCATTTGTGCCCACGATGGGTTAAACACCAGTAATTCATCATCTACTAACTTTATGTATAGTGGAACTGAGAAATTCCCTCCTTGGGAGGGAATCTGAGTATGAAATCCAAGATTTTTATGAAAACATCCCAATATTTTATAGAATTCTCATGTTAACTCAACAGCTAATCTGAAAATTAATCCCTCTGTACATTTACATGATATATAGTTAACTAACATGACTGCAATAAACAGTTTCAACTAGAGTATACAGGTTTGGAACCTGACCTTTGGAATCAGACAACTCAGTGGTAGGGAGGGAGGTCAGTGCCTACTTACAATGCAACAATGATTTTTAAAAGTGATCTCTGGACCACTGTCAGTTGGAATTTGTTAGAATTATAAAATTCAGGAGTTTCAATCCTGATCTACTGAGTGGGAAACTCTGGGAAACCTGGAAGGAGGGCAGCAATCTCTGTTTTAACAAACACTTCAGGTAATTCTGAGGGCCACTCAATTTGATAACCTTTGTTCAGACTGTATATTTTTCAGACGGGGTAGAAAGTTTTGATTAATCTGGTGAGGTAGTTCAGTGCAGGTTGGTTAAGAGATGTTTAGTCTATGTGAATATAGGCTGATGATCATTTAAAAATACAGTTTTAGAAATGGAAATGATAAGAGAGATAATCTTGTTCAGCTTCTTCTTCTTCTTTTTTTTTTTTTGTAGTTTCTGGCTGGGGCTGGGTTTGAACCTGCCACCTCCGGCATATGGGGTCAGTGCCTTACTCCTTTGAGCCACAGGTACGGCCCCCTTATTCAGCTTCTTAATAAATGAAGAAGCTGAGGCACAAGAGTGCAAAATAACTTCTCGGTCTAAGGTCACATACAGGAAGTAGCCCTTTTCATTCCCCTTCTAGATCCCCCTTTTTCTTTAACTCCCTGTAACCATTTGCTGCCTCCATTTTGTGATTTAATGAATACCATTAATTAAAATCAGTTAATCAGCTGAGTAAAAAGCTTTTAATTAACCATTCATTCATTCAGTGGGTTGATATATATTAAGTACCTACTCTTGGCTAGGCACTCTGATTGGCACTGAAGGACCTAATGTAAATGCATATGATCACTACCCTAAGAGAGTTCACAAAAATATGATAAAAAGAAGTGTAGCAAGGGGTCATCATCTAGTCCAGTGTTTTCAACCAATATTACTGCACAGTGCATTGGTGTGCTGTGCGAGGATCTTAGGTGTGCCAAGAAAATCTTTAAAGATAATTAATTAAATTTTTTAAGAAAATAGTTCAAAGCCCAGTAAGTATATTCTTTTTTTAACTCTCTTTTTGATCAACGTAATTTAAGTGTTCTGAGGAAGTTTAACTATAGGTTCAAGTGTGTGATGAGATAAAAAAGGTTAAAAACACTAATCTAGTCTGATAAGGGGATTTGGAAGGTAAAAGCAAGCCTGCCTGCAGATGTCAAAGAAGGCACCACAGGGAAATTGGCATTTCCATCATTTTTTTTTTTTTTGAATGGTAACTGTGTACAATCCATCATTTGTTTTTGAAAACCAACCAAACTTTAGGAGTAATTTGAGTGATATCAGTTAGGACATTAAGGTTTTTTATTTTATTTTCTAAAGAAGGCATAGCTCTAGTATAGTATTTGAAGGTTTCATAGCTTTTCATATTTTGATTCAAATTCATTAGATCAAAATAATTTATGTTTTCATCTCAATTGCTAATTAGCTTTCATGGTCACAAAGTCTTAAGGATTATTGAGCAAGTATGATGATACATCTTAGTGTATTTTATTTCCTCATCTGCT